ACAAGCTACCAAGAGTATCTCGCCCGCACGGCAGAGCCTGGCAAGCTCCCCGTGATGAATTCGATATGCCAAACACAGTAACAACAAAGTCTCCAATGGAAACATTACTGGGCCTGCTTGAGCAAATAGATGAACAATGGGAGGACCGTGACCGTGAGTATCTCACCTATGAGAGAGATAATTCTATCATCCTCCCTCCCTCCCTCCCTCCCTCCCTCCCTTCCTTCCTTCCTTCCTTCCTTCCTTCCTTCCTTCCTTCCTTCCTTCCATCTATCCTTCCTTCCCTCCTTCCTTCCCTCCTTCACTCCTTCCTTCTTTTCTCTTTCTTTTATTTATTTATTTTTTTTTTGGTTACACCTTTTTGATGTGCAGGACTTTCTCCTGGCTTGGTGCTCAGAGATCACTTGCAGTGGGCTCCAGGACTGTATGGGATGCTGGGAACTAAACCCAAGTAGGCCATGTGCAAGCAAAATGCCCTACCTGATGTAGTCACTCCAGCTGCTCTGTTTCTCTTTCTTGTCTGATTTCACTATCATGATACCATCCTTGTGCTGGCAAGTTGCACGATGTTATATACTTTTTGGTAACTGAGTAGTATTCCATTGTGTAATATAATTTTTACAATAATATTTATTATCTTTTTTAAACCTCTCTCCGTCCTTTAGTAACTATTGTTATTGCTGCAATTACCTGGGATAACTCACTTGGTAATAAGATGAGATTACACTTTTCTGTAACATTGGAGATCATAAATGGCAACACTGCGAGTTAACTTGTAGGGCGGTGATGGGGATCATACACACAGTCTCTGTCTAATGCCTATAAAGCAGGCACACTACTGCCATGCTATATCCCTAGGCTCCTAAGTGATTTTTTCAAGACTCCTTTATTCTGAGAAACCTGAGGCTTACATATTCATGTAGCTGCCTTTTAATACATCTGTATTTGGCATAAACATCATGCACATTCTACTGTAATTTATTACTATGAAACAACATAACAGAAGAGAGATGGTACTCTGAAGGCCAAATTTACAGTCTAAGAAGTTGTATTTTGTCCTGAAAACAATTGAGAATTCTGAAAACTTTGAAATATATGTGTCAGTAATATTAATAAAGCTGGTTAGATTAATAGCATCATTTAGGTTTCTACTAAATGAACTCTTCCTCAGAGAGGCCTTATCTATCTACCCAAGCCCAATATATACCACCTTCTACCCAATTATTTGCTTTATAGCATATATAAATATCTCATTAAATGTTACTTATTTTTTGAGCATTTGCATATCTTTCTATTATAATGTAACTACCATGTCACATAAATTTCATGAAGTCCGTTGTATTTATACTACTTAGAAATGCATTTATTTCCAGGATTAATACATATTTATTAGATTAACAAATGTGATAGATGGTAAATGATATAAAGAACATCATGTTTTTGTTTCTGGTTAGACCTATCTGGGCTTGGGGCTCACTCTTGGCAGTGCTCAGGGGACCAAATACGTTGCTGTGGATTGAACCTGATTTGACTGTGTGCAAGGCAAATGCCCTACCCGTTTGATTATCTCTTCAGCAACAATATCGTGTGTTTTTGTTTTTTTAGGAATCTGGTTTGTCATCTAAAAAATCCACATTTGGACAACTTTTGATAAGAGAAATTGGTTTCCTTCCTTATAAACAAGAAATGAAATGTAACCATTATTTCTCGTGATTCAACCATCCTAAGTCCATTTCTACCCCCCAAAATGTAAAGGATCCAAATAAGTCCTCTTAAATTAAGCATGCTTCAAATGAGTAATGCTGAATTATAGTATTAAAAGAACTTGGGTTGGAGTTGATTTGGTTGGAGTCATTTGTCAGAGACTTCTCTGATGGCTACAGCTGGTTTCAGTGGGGAGGAGCTGAGAAATGGGGAGAGGAATCTGACTCAGAACATTGATTCACCAATCTGTCTTGGTATTTCTTGGGTGGACCTCTCAGGTGACCAATCTTAGTTTTGTCTATTGTTTTTTTTCTCAGTATCCAACTCAAAGAAAAATTTCATTTCTTCCTTTAAACCACAGATCCACAGTTGTCATCAACACCTGTTAAACAAGTTTCCTCTTAATTGCTTTCTGCTATGCCATCTAGTTCTTAAAATCCCAACTAGCGTTGTGGTTAGCACATTTACCAGAGAACTACTGATCAGGACAAAAGAAGCAAGTATCCTTTATCTTTATTAAGGTCAGCTATTATACCGGTACATTATGTATAGGTAAGTAACAATCTGCTTGCTTAAAAATTATGAAATAAATAGAATTATGTTTTCCTTAAATGAAACCCACCTAGGGTCTGAAGTAAAATAGTTGAGTTTAGTGTGGAATTTTTAATTTTTTTAAATAGCATTTTGAATTTCCTGCTAGGAAGAGCACTATCACATATATGCATTTTTGTCTGAAATTTGTAATTCATGTGTGATTTAGTAAGTGTTTCAAAGATGTTATATGCTGCTTAACATACTGTTAAATAAAAGAAAAATATTATGGTTGTGAAGAGAAGGGGTTGAGAATTTTTGTATAAAACAGTATTTAATTGTTATTGATGGTGATAATTATGACTGACTTACATTTTTAAAAACCTGAATTTTAAGTACTTTTATAAATATTGCCTGGAATCTCACAGCATTATCTTATTATGTGTTTTCTATAAAAATCATATATAAAAGAATGCATTTTTATCTGTGAAAGGTTCATGAACTAGATAGTATACTTGTGTGTAGACTAGTGTTGTTTATTTTTAAAGTATCTAACTAGATGATTCTCATTTTAAGTGGACCAAGATCATGAATGCCAACATTTGAAGAATGTATTCAGTTTACAAGGAATTTTCATCAATATATGAAATACAAGATCATTAATTGAACCTGTTATAAATTATTGAGTTCTCAGAAAACTCTAAAACCATAAATTGCCTTATACAAATGTTTCACTAAAGTTATGCAACTTTAGTTAAGAGTTGAGCCCTAAAGGCACATGCATGTACTTAATTATTCTCATGAAAGTATTTATATATAGAAAGAATAGTGACATTGAATATATTAAGAACATATTTATTGCACTAGAGTAAATAAATAATTTTGTGTGATTTACTTGCTATATATGTTTTAATATTCAACTCTGAATTTTGTTACTAGCTATATATATATGTAACCTATTATAATAAAGAAAAACACACACATTTTAAATAGTGAAGAGAAAACAGCGTGGTTTTGTTTTGCTTATGTGAGAGTCATCACCTTTATGCTGGGTGGAGGATTTAAAAAATGTTTTGTGTTCTTCCTCCTTCCCCCTCATCATTTTGACAGTTGTGTGAAGTCCGAACCTGACAGATTTCAATAGGTTGAGTCATTATTTCTAAGCACTCCTGGTTGCTTAGGAAAGGTTCAGACTCTAATTTTGTGGTTCTCTTCTCAAAGTGAGACATTAATCTGATTGGCCACAAGAATATAAAGAGAATTAGAAGTATGGTTCCGGAGTTACATTTGAAGGGAATTAGGTTAATCCTATGTCTGAATATGGGTTTACAAACTATGAATAGAGAAGAGAAAGAAAAAGATTGCTAGAAGTGGAAGTAAAGAATTTAAAACCTTGTTTTATATTTTTCATTACCCCTACATCCTTGTAGGATTAGTAATATAGGACGGAATAAAAAAATCTCAGAAAAATAAAAGCTGTGGTTTTGTTTCAGTGCAAAGGAAACACAGTATTCATGGCCTTGAGTTCCTTTTCCTGTGGAAAGATAGGATTGAAATTTTCTACTTTCTCTTAAAAACTCCAGGGTGAAATACTAGATATATTAGCCAAATAGTTGAGTGATTTTTTTTTTTTTGCCTGAAAGTGTGTCACTTTATAGCTGCTGTTGAATTTGGAAAGGTATTTACCCCTGTCTTTTATTTGATTGCTAAAGGTATAGCACTAAATTTTTTAAAATATACAAAGTAACTACATACCATTTGGATGGAAACAAAGGATAATAAAAATGGAAAAAGGTGGTTAGAGGTGTAACTCAGTGGCAGAAATATTTGTGCTATATGTGTGAAGCCCAGGGTTCAACGCCTAGCACTGGGAAACAAAAAGAGAGATAGGGAAAGTAAATTTAGTATACTGCATTTTCAGTGAATGACATTAAAAAATAGGGAGTTTTTTCACTTTTTGCATTTATTTATTTATGATTTTTGTGATTCACGGTGAGCAATGCATATCCTGTATTGCTTGGGGCTTACTCCTGGCTTTGTGCTTAGGTATAACTCCTGGGCTGATGCGAGGGCCATATGAGGTGCTAAGGACTAAACCAGGGTTGGTCCTATGCAAGGCAAACACTTTAAACCCTACAACTAATTATAAAGCATCTCTGGGTTTGTTTCGTTTGGGCATATCTCACGATGCTGGGGCTTACTCCTGGTTTAGTGCTTGGGGGTTCCTGGAGATGCTCAAAGAGTTAGACAGCTCTGGAATAAAATCCAGGGTATCACACATGTGCTCTACCATATATTTCTGTTTTTATAGTTATGTAGCACTGTAGCACTATCGTCCCATTGTTCATCGGTTTGCTCGAGTGACCAGTAATGTCTCCTCTCCATCGTGAGACTTATTGTTACTGTCTTTGGCATTTTGAATATGCCACAGGGAGCTTGCCAGGCTCTGCTGTGCGGGTGGGATACTCTTGGTAGCTGGCTGGGCTCTCCAAGAGGGACAGAGGAATTGAACCCGGGTCGGCCGTGTGCAAGGCAAATACCCTATCCTTTGTATTATTAAAACAAATTATAAAGATAAAACAATTTTCCAATCTGTTTAGAGTTCCTGTTCTGAATTATAGTTTTGAAAATGAATCTAGTCAAACAGGAAACATTAAAATATAAACCCAATTAAAGAGTAAGAGGGAAGAAACATAATTAGCAAGAGTTCATGGGAATCCTGAAAGGGTGTGGAATAGAGATTAGAAAACTAAACAGTGAGCTGAATGGTTTCTAAGAAGCTGAATGCTTGGGCGATCAGGTAAGTGCTGATCCATCACTGAAAAATGAGAATTATTTTGATATTTTAGTTAAAAAAATACATGCTGACAAATTAAAATATTAGAGAGATATCAAATAAGACTCTGAGATTCAGAAGTCATGATAAAAATTGAAAAGATTTATCTGTAGTTCGAGTAGAAAAAAATGTTTGCTTTGGAAAAAGAAGCACTCATTTTGCATATATCTTATATAGCAAGCAGTATAATGCACTAATCCAGTTTTATGATTTTGTTTCTTTTATGAATTTGTATGACTCACAATTTCACATATCTAACTAAACTATGCTTTCTCAGTTAACTGCTAGTTTGGTACATAAAACTGTGTTTCAGAAATTTAAATATTTCTTGAAGTTAAGGTATAAAAAGGATTTCCTTTTCTACATTTTCTTTTTCTAGACTTAACTCTTCTTCAGTTCTCAAAATAAAATCTCCAACATATTCACATTCTTTAAACTAAAGCTAATTAATTACAAGCTTCTGGAAAATATTTGACTTGAAATACTTCCTAACTTATCACTGTTTCTTTTCCTTTGTGCTACTATCACCCAAGATCTCACTACTTCCTTCTTATGGATTACAGAAATCTTTTTCCTCATGAGTTTTCTTTTTACCATTGCTCTCTTTTAAAGTAGTATCATACAACTGTTTTCAGATTCATTTCCTAATCACAAAATGACATCAAGTTAGTTATGTCCAAAGGGGAAAAAATCAGAATTCTTTTAGTAGATATTCAAGGGTCTCTGTAATGTTTATCCCACATTTCTGCCTTTTCTTTAAAACACAGTGTTCTTTATTATCTCTTGGAGCCATTTATTTGTTCCTTTAATATTTTCTAATATGTACTCTATACTATGCTGCACCCGTCTTATTAAACAACATGAAATAATGGCATAATTTAGAACACAACATGGTCATGACTAGAGGTTAAGTGACTATCATGTAAAAATTTATATTAATCACTTTCAGTGTCGATTAGATTAAATCTTGAATTGCTTCAATGAAGAGATAACAGGGTTGAGTTATGGAATTCAGTTAAAATGCCACTGGGTAGACTTGTGGTACATTGTAGGCAGAAGAACAAGAGTGTGCAAAAACATGAAGACATGATTCTGGATGTTGAGGAAATTCTGATAATTTGAAATGACCAACACTGTTACATGTACAGAAGCATAGAAAAAAGGGTGAAACGGGAAGGTGTGTCCTGAGATAGAGGCACAATTTATAAAGACATGAGGAAAAATCAGATGTGGTGACAGAGACAGAATTCTAAAATATAATAGTGGAATTTGAAATTTCCTCTTTTGACACCTTCTCAGAGGAATATGAAGTAAGATTATTAACTAAGATTGAGAATGGAGAGCATATTGTGTTAGTGAATTGTGGGGAAAAGGATAATTATAAAATTATTTTCAAAAAAGTGCAAAAATATGAATGGAAAATGGATTAAAATTCTTAACTTCCCAAAAGTAGCAAAGCATTTTATGTATTTTTCTTTCTTTTCTTTTCTTTTTTATTTTTTTATTTTATTTTTTTTTTACTTTTTGGGTCACACCCAGAGATGCTCAAGGGATACTCCTGGCTCTGCACTCAAGAAGTACTGCTGGTGGAGCTTGGGGGACCAGCTGGGGGTTGAATCTGGGTCAGCTGCATGCAATTCAAACACTGTGCCCACTGTGCTATCACTCCAGCTTTGTCTCCTATTTTTAGACCAAACCAGGTGGTACTCAGCGGCTACTCCTTGCTTGGTGCTTGACAGTCACTCCTGGCATTCCAAGGCTGCTTGGGGATCAAATTCAGGCCACTAACAAGTGTTCAGCTCATTTTGTTCTATCTTCAGACTGACCAAATTTATTTTTTATCCATGATTCAATTAATTAAGCATATTTCCCCCGATATTACTTCTAATCTGAAAGAAGTGATGTTTACTGGATAGGTTAAAGTTTTGAAATATTTTTAAGTAAAGATAGTGCATATTTTAGTAAGACTGCCTCACCAACTGTGTAAAAAGTACAAATTCTCAGGTGTACATTAAGGAATTCGTGGTCATTGTACCTGCAGAAGAATATCATAAATTTATGCTTAATAAATCTATTTTTCTTGTCTTAATGAAAACATGGAAAATATTTTGTAGTATGGTTGGTATGCTTTTGTATTTATATAGAAGATCTCTTTGAGGGTCTAAAGAGATAGAAGAGCGAGAAGGGCACTTACTTTGCACACTGCTCACCCAGTTTCAATCACTGGCCTCCCATATGGTTCCCAGAACATATTCCTGAGTGCAGAGCCAGAAGTGAGCCCTGAGCACTGTCAGGCGTTGGTCCCCTTTCTACCTCACCGGGTTCCCTCAAAAAGGTAAGATAAAATATCTCTTTGAGACATAGTCTGTCCAGATTTTGATAGTATCTCATATTTGTTTTCTCTATCTATAATAAGGGCATAGCAACTAATATTGGATAATGATCATAGTTTAAAAGTTATGTTAGGCTACACATAAAGAACATCAGATAGTTCCATTTCCCTTTTCTCTTCCCTAACCTCACTTGAAAAACTTCTTCTATACCTGAAAAACAACTACAGAACACTGATTGAAAATTTAGTCTGGCCACTGATGTTCTCTGTTTTTATAATGCTCAAATGTCATTTGCTACTACCATGTCTAAATTGTGGAACTTCAAGGGATAGGAGAAAAATCTATTCATAATATTATGATTTTTCTGATATAACATACATATATGCATATAAACTCTCTCTCTCTCTCTCTCTCTCTCTCTCTCTCTCTCTCTCTCTGCCAGACCCGTCACAGCTTCACGAAGATCCTTGCCACTATGGATGATTGCACTCATTGTGATTGGAGTGTTGGCAATCCTGGGAATAACTATTGGTCTCCTGGTTCATTTTCTCGTAATAGGTTGGTGTGTTAAAACATATAAATTTATTATACATTTTATTTTGAGTTCTGCAAAATGCACTCAATCACAAATAAAGCCTAACCTTTGTTGTATCTTTGTGTATTTCAGCCACTAGATACACGTTGCTTAATAGTTTTTAATTCAGTGTTATACTGATGTTTTTGTTTCCTGGAAATTGAATCCTCAGCTCCATCTTTTAAGTTTTTGACCAGACTTAGAAACAGAAAAATGTAGAAATGCTTTAACTCTGTTACCTTTAAACATCAGTGTTCTCATAGTACATGTTTAAACTTTATTATTATTTGCAGATCACAAACAAAAAAACCCTTTGTGTTGTTGTGTGTGAATTTTAGGCTTTCTTTACAGAAAGAAGTAGCAAGTAATGAAAAAATTATAAAGCAATTTTCTTCTGCTGCTTCTAAATGATTTTTTAAAAGTCATATTGGACCTTGTACCACATGTAGAGAGGATAATGTTAATTCTAAAGTACACGTGTGTTTTGTAGATATTCTGTCCCTAAGAGCCAGGGTTTTTTGTCTCATCAGAGCCTAGTAGCTACTGAGAGTATCTCGCCCGCATAGCAGAGCCTAGCAAGCTCCCCGTGACGCATTCAATATGCCAAACACAGTAACAACAAAGTCTCCAATGGAGACGTTACTGGGCCCGCTCGAGCAGATCGATGATCAACGGGAGGGCCTTTACTTTACTTTACAGAGCTTGCACGCAGCCAACATGGCCGACCCGAGTTCGATTCCTCCGCCCCTCTCGGAGAGCCCGGCAAGCTACCGAGAGTATCTCGCCCGCGCGGCAGAGCCTGGCAAGCTCCCCGTGACGTATTCGATATGCCAAACACAGTAACAACAAAGTCTCCAATGGAGACGTTACTGGGCCTGCTCGAGCAAATCGACGAACAGAGCCTAGTGGCTAAGTTCACAGTAACTTCACCATAACGAGCAATCTCAGTGACCCTTACCATAAAATGTAGTTTCTTAGGTTTAAATGTGTCAATCCATGTTTCAAGCATGATTATCTAGACATATTAATATTACTAAAACTGCCTTCTTTTGTTAGCATTTATAGGTGTCTTTTCAATGCCTTTACATTCAAGTCTTCTTTTTTATCAATACCTCTTCTCTTCTAATAGCAGTTAGATTTTTAAACTTTATTGAGTTTTCTGCTACACAGGAAATTTGATCAGTTTATTTGTCAGCTATTACTTATAAAATTTTGACATTTCTTTATGCTTTTTGAGGTAGTGATCAAATTTTATTTGCTCTCCAATTTTATACTATAAATTTTGTTTATACATATAATACAATTAAAGTCATCATATTTTACTTGTAATAATTAAATACCACTATTTTTTCCACAAAATAAATGTGTCAAGCATTTGACAGTTTATTCATTAATTCTGGCAATGTACTGTAGAGAGTTCATGATTTGACAGTTTATTTATCTACTTTAAAGAATATTCACGGTTACTTAATTGACTGAAGAACACATTATAAGTACTGAATTTTTTAAATTTAAAGTTTAATAGTTTCAATGGATTATGGTAAAATGCAATAATCACCATTGAAAATATTAGTCTCTAATGTAGAAAATTCATGACTCACACAATCTAAATTAACAATATTCTTGCACAAATCTATATGTAAATCACATATTTTAAGTATTTGTTTGCAACTTTATGATTTTACTTTCACCATCTTTCTTACCCCAAAATATTTTACCACATAATATATAAATATTTTACCATAGCATTGTAGCACTTTAGCACTGTCCTCCCATAGTTCATCGATTTTCTCGAGCAGGCACCGGTAACTTCTCCATTGCAAAACTTGTTGTTACTGTTTTTGGCATATTGAATTCGCTATGGGGAGCTGGCCAGGCTCTGCTGTGTGGGCGACATACTTTTCGGTAGCTTGCTGGGCTCTCAAAGAGGAATGGAGAACTTGAACCAGGGTCGGCGGCATGCAAGGCTAACATCCTACGTGCTGTGCTATTGCTCCAGCCCATTTTACCATAATAAATAATATTTTAATTTAATTATGGTTTAATTATGGTGTCTCCCCTTTCTGCATTTATATAAAATTATAGTTGACCAATTAACTTTATCATTTAACTGTATACTCCTTAGTGCTTCATTGATAATTACTTGATTCATTTATACAAGATAATGTTCAAAGACAATAATTGTATTAGAAAACTTGATTATCTAATGTTTGTTATATGCTTGGAAATATTATATGTACAATATTCCTGGATAATTAGTAACTGCCAAATTTTAGAGATAAGAGGCATGATGTATCAAATCACTTGGTATCTATTAATGTTTAGATGAAAATGTAAAGGATTGTATGTAGGCTTTAGGTCATATAGAGCACATTTTAATCTTGGTCTTTTGTATTAGCTATATTCAGTAGTTTCTGACTATTTCTAATATTACATTTATACTGAAAAATGGTTAAATTTCATATTTTTTTCTTTTTGGGTCACACCCAGTGGTGCTCAGGGGATACTGCTAGTTCTGCACTCAGATATTACTCCTTGTGGTGTTTGGGGGACTATATGGGATGCTAGGGATTGAACCTGGGTTGGCTACATGCAAGGCAAATGCCCTACCACTGTACTATCGTTTCAACCCCAAATTTCATATGATTTCTAAAAAAGTTATCTATTCATACAGTGGAAATTAATAAAATTTAAATTTTTTCTTCATAATATGTGAATTGATTATTCTAGATAGAATACTGACATAATATATAGTCCTCTGTCTCCATGAAAACAGAACTATTACTTCTGACAATTTCATCGTATGTATATTCTATCATTAGTCTTAGAAATACTTTTACACAATACCCAGTTTATTTAATCTACTGTGCTAAAAAATCTGCAGGAATTGTCAGTATCTAATTTTAGTATAATAGTTATTAGTTGGTGTTACTCTCTGTTTCTGTATCTGCATTTTAAATTCATTTAACTTAAACAAGTCTTGGACCATTTCTTTCACAGAAAATAAGATCTACTATTACCAAGGTAGCTTTAAGGTTTTGGATATACCATATAATAAAAATTATGAAAAGGAGACATCACCAGAAAACAACTATCTTAGTAAAATTCTTGAGACTGAGGTTAGTATTTTCCTAAGTTTATCCATTATTATGTGAAATGTAAATAAGTTATTAGAGTCTATTGTTTAATTTTGTGTTTCTTTCACAGATGTCTAATGCATTTGAAAGTTCAAATATTTACAGACAATACATTAATTCTCAAGTCATCACACTGGTGTAAGTAACCAACAAATAACAGTAAGAAAAGAAATCAACCCATTTGCAATGCATGCCTTTGCATTTCAAGTTCCTATTGAATCTGAAAAAATGAGTAAAGGAGTAAACCAGTTATACTGTAATAGTAATTTTCCAACAAATTTATAATAAATAGTATTATTTTAAGTCAAGTGTGAAACTAGTTGTTCAGTATAAAATCAAATTGAAGATTGTAGTATTTACCAATCATGTTTATTATATTTATTGAGATTCTATCAATCCTTAAATTACAGTTTAGTTTTCTCTCTTTTCAAAAGTTTATTCCAGTGCTTCTTTAGATTAATACTTTATATTATGACATTCAAATTTAGCACTAGCATAAATGAATGCCTCTTTTCTCAGACCTTTTTATTTGTAAATCAGTTAGAGACTCCATGGAAATTCCATAGGTTGTTTATATGGCAGAAGAAACATAACTACATCAGGGCCTCACTCCAAGGATCTTCTGGTATCATGACTAAAAGTAAGGGAGATAGTCTGTTATCTCTGAATGTGGGTTTAGGATACAATAGACCAACAAAGGATCCCTAGCATAGGAGTTAGATAATTTGGATATAAAATTATTAATCAGCGGCCTTAAAGCCTTGAAAGGGTCATCTTGTTAATCGTTTTAAATCTGCTTCCTCCCTAAAAAATATTGATAGCATTTATGCTACTCCTTTCATTAAACTTTATTCAGGATCAAAGAATATATTAAGAGTGAAAATATTGAGAAACTGACACATTTCAAGTGAAAGCAAATACTGATTTTTAACTTTATCAATGCTACCAAACTGTGCGTGTTCTTCCCCTGTGCCTGAAGTTCTGGAACTCCTGGAATTGCAGAATAGATCCAGAACTCAATGACCATTTGTCACTATTTTAAAATTGGAACAATATTGGAGATTAAAATGTAAGGGTCCAGGTTTCTCTCATACAAAGAACAGAAGCATTCAATTTTCACCTCCATGAGCGCAACTCTAGGTATTTATAGAAAGCGCGGGCATATTAGACAAACTACAGAAAAACCTGCCATGAAAAGAATAAACTTGTTTGAGCTAAGGACCTTATAGAAATGATGGCTGGTTAGTCAGTCAAAAGATAGATCATCTAGTAGGAAAATCCAAAGAATAATAATAATAACTAATTACCACTAGGCCTGTTTACTTTTGGTTGTGTCAATCAAATCTTTCCTTCACATCAAAGTCAGGTGAATCTTCCCAGTCATGGTTCTACTCAATAACTTTCCTTTAGTGCTACTTTGCTAGCATTAAAGACCTTCTTTTGTCTGAGTTCAATCTTCCAGACACTGTCATCTCTGAGCAACTGAACAAGTTGGCAAAGACAGAGTTTATAGTGTTACCGGACCAGCTACTGGAGTCAATTCACGCTTACTCTGGATCTATGTTGGAAGTTGTATAATTTTGAATACATTAGTAACCTTTTGAGACTCAAGTTTTCCTTGTATCTAAAATAGCGATAAAGACCTATACACTTAGTTGTTGTAGAGAAAAAGTATGATAATAAATGTGATTTAAAAAGTAAGTGGAACACAGAATGTATCTAAAAGTACTGTTTGCCATTACTACCATTCAAATGTTCTGAAGTACCATCCATTCTTTAATCTGCATACTGAAATTTTCTGCTTGATACTAAACATATTTTAAGGTCCAATGCAGATACCATTTTTTTCCCCATGAAAATTTGTATCATTTGACTCCAATTTCTTATCTTTCTTTCTATCTTACAAATAGTATATGTATTACTTCAATCTCATTTTGACATCTGTATGTATAGATGTATTATCTTTCTAAACTTTGGAAATCATTTGCGCTTAGATACCATATCTCAAGTCATGCTTATATCACCCCATAATAACTAACCTAGTTGCTTGCCTATAGAAATACAAAGTGAAAGAGTGATCCTAATTCTTACAAGACATTTCAATCCTATGCCTCAGTATTTTTCCTCTTTTTAGATTTGTACAACTAGTTTTCCTCTCAAGAAAATAGCTTAAATAGCTTTCATGCATACTGTTATCAATTAAATAGAGATAAATGAATACTCCTCAAACTGAAGGCACTACACAAACCCATAATAGAAGAGATTAAGATCAGCAAATGAGGAAGCAAATATTACTATCTAGTGACATGTGAAATCTTTATGCAATTTCCAGTCCTGAAAACAACAGTGTCACTGCATATATATGGATGATGTTCAGAGCTCCAAGATCGATGAAAGCAAACACAAAGGGAAGAATTGAAAATATTTTACGCCAGATGCTGAGAAAAAACTCTGGCTCCTTGAGTCTGGATCCCGAGTCTCTTACAGTCACGGGTAAGCACATGTTAGGAGAGGTGTGTGTTGTCTTCATAGTTTTATCCCTAACACACCACAGATAGAGGACACAGAAATGATGCTCAGTTTTTCAAAAAGAATAAATCATGGTTTTAGAATAGGAGTAAAAACACATAAAATTAACAATAAATACATAATACACAAATAGTAATTCCAAAACATAAAATTAGTTCAGGGTGGAAGAGAGGGAGCACTTCTCATCCTAAAGTAAGATTTTAACAGTCTCTCTATTACACAAGCTGTGTCCTGCTTTCAAAAAAAATTACAACAGCAAATGATATGCCTTTATAAGACTCAGAGAGCCCGGCAAGCTACCAAGAGTATCCACCCGTGATGTATTTGATATGACAAACACAGTAACAACAAAATCTCCAATGGAGACGTTACTGGGCCCGCTCGAGCAAATCGATGAACAACAGGAGGCCTTTACCTTTTTTTTTTTTTTTACCTTTTATAAGACAGGTCACATTTTGAATGTTAATTGTTAGTGACAGAAGTCAGTTTAATTAGTAAGGTCTTTCTGTTCTAATGAAAGATTCTGATGGCCAGAGATATGGATCTGGGGTAGAGTAGACATTTGTGTTTATGAGGCCCTGGGTCTGATTTCTGGAACAAAAGAAAACTAACAACGAAAAACAATAATGTGCTGAATTCTTCTTTTCTATAATTTTTTTGCTTAAAAATCATACCCCCTACATCATCAAAAGATCAGTGCTAATAAAAATAATCTTAAAAAAAGGCACTAAAAAGTCGTGCAAGCAATTCTGGAAGCAACCTTTAAGCATTAACTCAGAAGTTCTTTGAGATGTTCTTTTTGATTCGTTTTAAAACTAAACAAAACAAAAATTAATTCTTGATACTTGCAAACCTTTCTTTTATTTTATTTAATAAAAATCATGGCCTCATTCTAGCAAAAGAGGTATTTTTATTTGTTTATTTAATTTTTGAGGAGTGGTGCCACATTCACTGTGTCTAGGAGTGAGCCTGGCAATCTTGGGGACAATATTTGGTGCCTGGTTTCCAACCCAGGCTTGGCCACTTGCATACAAGCACCTTACCTCCTGGTACTATCTCCTCAACTAAATTTTTTATTTTAGATGATGTAGAGTACAATTCCAAATAAATTATTTTTTCTCATATGGAAATGTGCAGATAGTACTTCCTGTATATGAGAAAATATTTTCTCTATATATTCTTATACAGTAAAACCTATTTCAAGAAAGCATTTCAACTCCTTTCTATATTTCCTTTAGCTCAAGAGTCCAAATTATTTTGGGACCCCTTTATCTTACTCTATTAGTTTCAGGGTGAGGGTACTAGTATTATAGTTTAACTTCACTATGAACTTTTTGTTCTATTTCAGAAATCAGTAAGGCTGATGCTGAAAAGATTATCAACAACCGTGAGTTATATTCTACATATGTATTAACCTAAAACGTAGAAGTGATGATAAGTGCCCAAAACCTTTAAGTGGTTTTTAAGCAATTTATAGTCAGCTCATTTAATTCTAGTACAATAAGATAGGTATTGTTATTATGCCCTTATCAAGATGGAGAAATGAAAGCATAAAAAGAGTAAAATCATTTGCCCAAATTTATCCCATTTGCAAATGGTGGGGCCAGAATTCAAACCAGGGAGTTTGGTTGCAGAGTCTCTTGACCTAGCCATGACCTTCTCACATTCTCCAGGTGCTCTATCATCTTGGAGATTCTCTGCTAAGCATGGAGGTGATTCAGGAGGTAGTGTCCCCCCCTCCATATACAGCTTTAATTTTGTTCTTGTTCATGAAAAGTATTTTTAGTTATAATTCACCAAGTCAAGCCCCTTAGCCACTCCTGGCTTTGTAATCATATAAACATTTCCTTATCTTCAATGCAACCAAACTATCTTTTCTGACAGGTTGTGGGAGACGAGCAAGAATGTCAGCTACATATGATAGGGTGAAGGGAGGTTCCAGTGCTCAGGAAGGAGAATGGCCATGGCAAGCAAGTCTCAAAAAAAATGGCAAGCACTACTGCGGGGCATCTTTGATCAGTGAAAGATACCTGGTGACTGCAGCTCACTGCTTTAAAAGGTAAGTAAAAGTAAGTAAAAGTCCTCTATGGTGCCCAAGCCCAGGGGACCAAAGACCCTTGGACCATTTCAGTTTACATCTCTTTTTTAAAGATATCCTGGTCTAGAAGACAAAATACAAGGTAAGATGTACAAAGATGTTCTTATCTTACTACAAAGAATGGAAAGAAGCGATAGCACAGCAGTAGGGCGTTTGCCTTGCATGCAGCCAATATGGCTGACCCGAGTTCGATTCCTCCGCCCCTCTCGGAGAGCCCGGCAAGCTACCGAGAGTATCTCGCCCGCACGGCAGAGCCTGGCAAGCTCCCCGTGATGTATTCAATATGCCAAACACAGTAACAACAAAGTCTCCAATGGAGACGTTACTGGGCCCGCTCGAGCAAATCGACGAACAACGGGAGGGCCTTTACCTTACCTTACCTTTACCTATTCATTCCACATACTATTTTTTTCCTCACATAATTCTTACCACTTTATGCTCTCTAGTTACTTGGAGTTGCAAAACCAGGATCTGATTTCATTTGCCTCCCCCTCTCTGTACATCCCAGTTACTCTATCCTCATCATTTGGGCATATAGGACTCAGATGCATACTCTTTTCCAAAAGCCTTTTTCTAGAAATCATCTTCCATTTTCTGCAAGCAGTTTTTTTCCTGTTTCATAGGTTTACGACATGTGAATCTATGGCATAGATCTATGACATCTAAGCAATTATAATTGCATGAGCTCATGATCATCTTTTATTAGGTTTAAATTTTATTTTTTCAACATAACATGAGGCTGATTCCTAAGGAGAGTAGATACACGGGACAGGAAGATTGCTCCATAGCTGGAAGCCTGCCTATTGAGCAAAGGGGAGAAGGCAGCTGGAATAGAGAAGGGATCACTAAGAAAATGATGGCTAGAGGAACTGTTCAGGATGGGAGATGTGTGCTCAAAGTAGATAATGGACCAAACATGATAACCTCTCAGTATCTGTACTGCAAACCATAATGCCCAAAATAGAGAGAGAGTATGAGGAATATTTTCTGCCACAGAGGCAGGGGGAGGGTGGGAAAGTGGGGGTATACTGGGGACATTGGTGGTGGGGAATGTGCACTGGTGGAGGGATGGGTGTTTGATCATTGTGTGACTGTAACACAAACATGAAAGCTTGTATATCTCACAGTGATTCAATAAAAAATTTAAAAAATAAAAAAATAAATTTTGTTTATTTTTTTATTTCCATACTTAATGTCATACATAATGTATGATGCAGGGACTTATATAAGATTTTCTAAAAATGAATTTTAAAAAAATTAGATTATATCACTGCTTATAGACATTAAGCAAGGAAATATTGTCATAAAACAAATCTAGTAGGCAATACTTAATTTTTATTATTTTGAGATAAATAAAAAATAATTATTTTTGTTTCTTTAGGACAAAAGATCCAAAAAACTATACAGTCAGTTTTGGCACTAGAGTAAGTCCCCCCTACATGCTACATCGTGTTCAACAAATTATTGTTCATGAAAACTATATTGCTGGACAACATCGTAATGATATTGCAATTATAATGCTCACGGAGAAGGTTTCCTTTAAGAATGATGTGCATCGAATTTGTCTTCCTGAAGCCACACAGATATTCTCACCAGGGGAGGGAGTTGTTGTTACAGGATGGGGAGCACTTTCCTATGATGGTAAGTTTAGTGGATACAGTTTATAGGGTACAAAAACAGCAAGAAAATTTTTTTTTCAGTTTTTTTCATTTCATCATCCTGTTATTCGTCGATTGCCTCGAGCAGGCCCCAGTAACGTCTCTTTCATCCTAGTCCTGAGATAATATTCAAGGCTCTTTAGGAGAATGAGACCCATCATTGTTACTGGTATTTGGCATATTTGGTATGCCACCACGGGGAGTTTGCCAGACTCTGCCCTGTGGGCAGGCTACATTCCATAGCCTGCAAGTTTGTCAAAAGTAGGAATGAGATAATAAGATGTCATAAAAAGATGTCCTGATAAGATGTCCCGCGGCCGCATTGGCATCTTGGCTTCTTGGCTCTTAAGGTAGCATCTTCTTGGCCGCATCTTGGCTTCTTGGCTCTTAAGGTAGCCAAGAAAAATTAGTGAATTAAAAATTAGTATACCATCATAGGCACCTTTTACCTCCATGTGCGGTAGGGAGTTTGCCTTGCATGGGCTGGCCCAGTCGACCCGGGTTTGATTTTTCCGCCCCTCTTGGAGAGACTGGCAAGCTACTGAGAGTATCTCGCCCACAGGGCAAAGCCTGGCAAGCTCCCCACAACGTATTCGATATGCCAAACACAGTAACAAGTCTCACAATGGAGACGTTACTGAGCCTGCTTGAGCAAATCTATGAACAAAGGGAGGACAGTGCTACAGAATATCCTCTGCTCCTACTTTCATGAAATGTTGTGTATAGAGTTACGAACTTGCAAGTTGCATTGATCTGATATGTTCTAAGGAAATCTATTTGATTATAAAACCTCATAAATCTAATTGAGAAAAGTCTGATTGAAAGATGTCTGAAGAGACATAAGAACGTGCAACAACAACATTAGAAACGCGTTTAAAAGAATTCTTTGAGTGAAGAATTTAAATGGTCTTTTCTAAAACTTAAGAATAGGCAATGGTGGGGTCCAGAGAGACCCCACTGTGGATGATGAATTTGCCTTGCATGTAGTGGACTCTGCCAAGAATGAGGAGGAAAAAAGATAATAATGAATATGCAAGAGTCAAGTATTATAGGGCTTTCACATAGAGGCAACAACAAGGTTTTATTTTGCTCTGTATTAGGAAATCTCTTTTGTTTATGTTATTGTTACCTTTAGGTGAATACCCAGTGTTGCTTCAGAAAGCACCTGTGAAGATTATTGACACAGCGACTTGTAATGCTGAAGAAGCATATAATGGAATGGTAGAAGATGAAATGCTATGTGCTGGATATATAGAAGGAAATATTGATGCCTGTCATGTAAGTGTTGACATTATTACGTTGACCCACAAAACATATGAATATGTTTTGTTTTTAAAAAATCAATTTGGAGGTAATGCTATATTTCAGTTTATTTGTACCTTTGTAATCCTGACTAATTGAGCTTTTGCAGTAAAGTCGTTTCTCTTTCTCCCCTACATTACAATGTAACTCTGTAGTGAACATTTTTGCTGGTCATATTCTAAGACAAGGATTGACCTAAATCCTTAGAAAGTATTAGTTTATTATCGTTGCAAACTTTATCATCATCATCATCATTATTTTATAGCTGAGAAAAGAGGCACAGGAAGATGATTTACATAGTTGAACAATAACTGGGAGAGTCGGTACCCATAAACTAACATCTCAGACTGTGCCCTGAACTTCTGTTCAGTAAACATTCAGCCTTAAAAAACTTTGCTTAAAACCATTTAGATTATCTTTCTAGTTTTTCATAGCTATGACTCCGGCTTCTTTTCTTAGATAAGAAATTACATACTCCAACTATTTCCATAACTTGTCATCCAAAAGCATTCTCATAGAAATAGACGTTGCCACTTAATGGCTCGTGCTTTCAAGATTCAAGTAAACCCCAAATAGTCCCGTGGAATAGATTCTTGACATTTACAAATATGTTTCTGGGTTACTCTGGGATTTATACCTGTCCTATGGTCTCTTTGAAGCATAAATTAAAAAGAAATCTTTCTTTGATAATGAATATTATTTGTTTTGTTTAGGGTGACTCCGGAGGACCATTAGTTCATCCCAATTCTCGAAATATTTGGTACCTTGTTGGAATAGTGAGCTGGGGTGTAGAATGTGGTAAAGTCAATAAGCCAGGAGTTTATGTGCGAGTGACCTCCTATCGAAGATGGATTGCCTCCAAGACGGGTATTTAAGAGAAAAGTATCTTATTACAGCTATGTCAGGCCATTTTTCATATTACTACTAAGCCTTATTTAACATTGTCCTTTATGAATATAATGTTTATTTTGAGATCCTGGGTAAAAATTTATGATTTTAGGCAAACTATAAGAAAAAACAAGAAATGTCATTCTTTGCCTAGCAAGGAATGTGCACCTATCAAAAATTGGATTACTACTATTAGTTTCTTCTTTAAAGAACTCATATCATGAGTTATCTCATCATTGTAAAGTTGGCATTATCATCCATATTTTCTGTAATTATGAAGGTTTGTCCTGTCAATGGCAAATTAACAGGTGGAAAATTGATAGATTGATATTAATGCCTTCTGAGAGTTTCACTGGAACATGTTTTTTTTTTGTCTTTGTGCCATAGGTTTAGTGGAATGGGTGTGGTTGTGAACTAAACATGTTTAGGATTGGGAGGCTGAATTATGTCTCTTATATGTACTGGGATCTTCTGCAACTCTTGCAATTATTATGAAGAATTTTGCAAGAATCAAAAGTTGGCAAAAAGCATTTTTACATTTACAGAGACCAAGTGCACTAATTTTACAGTATTGATACAGGTTTCTGTAGAAATTACTTTCTTGTAACATAAATAAAGAGATGTAATTTGAACCACGAAAATGTATAATGTATTTTAATTAAAATAAACTTGAAAGCAGACTATTTGATTAGCATCCTCCCTCCCTCCCTCCCTCCTTCCTTTCTTCTTTCCTTCCTTCCCTCCTTCCCCTATTGTACTTTTATTATAATTTTGTTTTCTTAAAATTTCTGCAGATAGATTTTGATGTTGTTGTTTCCACTTAGTCTGAGACTTGAAAATGTTATTTTTTTTCCTTTTTGGGTCACACCCGGCAATGCTCAGGGGTTACTCCTGGCTCATGCACTCAGGAATTACTCCTGGCAGTGCTCAGGGGACCATATGGGATGCCGGGGATTGAACCAAGGTGAGCCGCGTGCAAGGCAAATGCCCTACCCGCTGTGCTATTGCTCCAGCCCCTGAAAATGTTTTCTTAAAAAAAATTTAAAGTAGCAAAAAGTAAGTTTATTACATACACAAGAATTTTTATTTTAAAAAGGCTATATTTTCTAACACAAAAAATAATAGTGGCTTTGTTTTTACAAATGAATTTATCTAATTTGGCTGAAAAGATCTGAATTTTTATATGTGCTTCTTAAATGAAACTACTGTTTTAGTGAAGTATTTAAAGTAAATGTGGCATTGTACAGGGGGTTAGCTGGAAAAGGGAAGAGTAAGTTAGTAACTTTTTAGATGTTTATAAATGTTTTAATTCCAAAATACTAACAGGTAAGGTTTCCTTTAGTGGAATATTTAATTATGTTAATGAAACTTTTGCATTCTGTTAAAACAAAATTAATTCAAATATATCAAATTTAAATGAACTTCGTGTCCATGCAGGATTTTGTAACTGCATCCATTGGTTATTTTGACTTATTTGTAAGTTGAAAATGTTTGCACTTTTATTAATAAAATATAAAATGGTTATATTTATAATTATTAGAACTCATCTGATTATTAAGACTTTTAGTAACTTGAAGAGCATCACGTTTCACAGGGTAACATATAAACTTATGTAATGTCTAACTTTTACTATAAATCTCAATATTTTTCATCAGCAACGACATTATTTATTTTCCTTGTAATGATTTTACCGTATTTATTCAAGAAATTGCCAAACACTGATTCTAAGCAACTGTAATTTGTCAATAATTCTTTTAAATTGTTCTATGATGAAAGTGATGAGTTCTGCTTTGCAATCACAGTTATTTACATACTTTTTTCAAGATAGTAATTTTTATTCACTTTGTGGTAAAAGTGCTAATGTGCATTTCTCAACTTTTCATTTGTAATATGTATTCTGTGTTGTATTAGAGAATACAATGATGTGATGACTCTTGGTATAATTTGACACCAATACATCAGTTTGCTAAGATTTGGAATTTTTACCTACCATTACTTTTAACTTTTGGTTTGCCTTTACAGAGCTCGTGGAAGGGCTTCTGATAGGGGACAGAAGACCTTAATTTAAAAATAATTTATCTATGTAAAATGTTTTAAATGTAAGTGTACTTACTTGATATACAAAAATAATCTCATCAATCTATAGGCAACCAAGAATTATTTGTATCTATCTTTTAATGGATGCATGTGGAGACAAATAACTCAGAAAAAGGAATGAGGTCAACCAAAGTTGAGCTAAGCCCTATTATATGAATAAGAGGAAGCTCAGAACAGACTTCTCAGTGAATGGGTGGAGGTGCTTGTGAATGGCATCCAAAGAAGAGAAAATACTGTCAAACACCGTGACTTATTAGAGCATCATGTATTAGTAAGGACCGACTAGACTATATTGTGATAAAGCATATGTAAATCACCACAGTTTAGTAATTCAAAATGTATCTCTTACTCATGAACTATTGCCAGGCAGTATGACAATTCTCCAGGACAGCTGAACAAACTACCCAGACTTCTTTGTATTCTGACTCTCCCATGAAAATATCTGGTATGCCATAGTCTATTGCAGAACAGTAAAACCCCTTGATAATATATTCACTAACAACTGTAATTATAATCACCACGATTCAGATCTCTTCATATGTCCTCTTCTAAATTTAAGGGAACTAAGATTCCAAGAAAACATTTAAGTATCTGAGGAGCTATAGATTTCTCTAGATTAACTTAATTTCTTAAAAATTTATAGTGCTTCACAAAAATTTGTAAGTCTACAACTGTGCCTCATGATGTCTCACTAATAAAAATAAAAAAAAATTATAGTGCTTCAAAGAACAAGATATTTTCTACAAAATAAAAATGAAGCATGATGGGAGACTAGTATGAAAATTCATGCTGTTGTTTTAAATAGAGAAATAGAGGTAGAGGACCTGGAAGTAGATAATAAGAGATATTTTATAGTCTAATGATCAAATCTAGTTCTATTGGAGATGTATTTTTTTTGATTGATCAGTTGTCCTTTATTCCATTCTCCCCATGTGCCTGCCCCAGTCTCTCTGAGCCCCCATTCTAGTCTCACACTGCCCCTCATTCCTGTCTCCTTCTTCTACATTCTTTCTCTGTCCCGCTTGCTAGCATCTCTGCGGTCCATCTTGCTTCCCTGCTCTCTCTCTCTCACTGTCCCCCAGCTTTCTTGTTTCTCCAACTCCCCTGGAGATGTTTTATTTATTTATTTATTTTTGGAGATCTATTTTTTTTAAGTAGAAAGAAGAGGGAAAACAAGTACTGTGTAGAGAAAAGAAGATTTTAAGATTACACAAATTTATGTCATTAGAATTATGACATAAATAAATAAATAAATATGCAAAATTACAATGTAATTTGTCCCTACTACATAAAAGGAAGAGAACAAAAGATTGAAGATGAAAAAACACAGTATAATTTTGGTGATACTATGCATGTTTTTCCCTAAACTCTGTTTCATTTTCCATAATAAATATGGGTATGAATACATATGCACTCATGTGTAAAATATATATATATATATTTATCCCTGCATATCCAGATTTATCAACATATCACTAGAACACCAATAGAAATAGAGAGAGAACTGCACAGGCATTTTAGTTTTAGTCATCACATTAAATTAAAAAAGAGCTGGTGACATTCTTACAGTACATTTTATTTGTTGATAATGTCCATCTTAATATACAAATGATACTAAAAATTATAATTATATTGGGAGGGGTGCCACACTTGGCAGTGCTTAGGGCTTATCCCTGACTCTGTGTTTAGAGACAACTCCTGGTGGGTCTTGGGGACTTTAAGTGGCTCTCGGGATGGAATGCGTGTCGACAATACAAGGTATGAATTCTTTTTTCTGTACTATCTCTTTGGCTCATTCCTTAGGTATTTTTAAATCACAATCTTAATAATGAATTTCCTAAAGTCACAAATTAGATATAATTATGAAATATTCCTGAATATGGTGAAAAAACTTACCTTGTTGGAATTTGTGTTTGATACAGATCTTAAAGTACAGAACCTTGAGATAGTACCACTGGTAAGGCGCTTGCCTTGCACTTCACTGGCCAGGTTCCAATCCCTAGTATTGCATATGGTAGGTCACCCCCTCAAACAATTGGACACGATTAAAAATTTGGCATCAGTCTTGAAAACTTACATGTTTACAAACCTATAAAGAGCATAAAACTATTTATTCTTAAGCTCAAGTGACATATACTGTATAATAGTTATTATAACATGTTCTTGCTATTCATAAATGTTATTAAAATTTGTGGTAATTTACCAAAGTTTATTTAACCAGTCATCTGTTCTCGAGCACTGGTGGAGGGATGGGTGTTTGATCATTGTACAATTGAAACCCAAGCACAAATATTTGTAAATCTACAACTGTATCTCATGGTGTTTCACTAACAAAAATTTAAAAAAAAATAAATGTAAATGATGGAGACTGGGCACTGGTGGAGGGATGGGTGCTGGATTATTGTATAACTGAAACCCAAGCACAAAAATTTAAAAGTATACAACTGTACCTTGTGGTGTTTCGCTAATAAAAATTTTAAAAAATTTTGTGTTAATTAATTCTTCATAAAATAATTGCACTTGAAATTATAAAAACAACTTGGCACTAAAATGAGTGAATTACAATGAAAATATGTTTATGTATGATATATGTATACTTATTTTTTTTTTTTTGCGGGATTGGACCACACCTTGCAGTGCTCTGGGCTAACTTCTAGCTCTGCACTCAGGAATTACTCCTGGCAGTGCTCAGGGGTCTTAATGGAATGCCAAGGATTGAACTCAGGTTTGCCATATGCAAGGCAAACACCCAACCCACTGTGATATCTTTGTCTGCTGGAATTTATTTTCTTGAAGAATAATAAGCATAGTTTTAAAATTCACAACACTACCCATAATACAGTTTTCTGTGTTCCGTATTCTGACACCTTGCCCAGCACTCATGTCAGTATATCCACAACAGTGACTCTAACAATATTTCAAGGTCCCCTTCCACTCCCATACGACAAACTCATTGAAATTTGTTTTAATTATAGTTTGGGTCACATATTCACAAGAGAATTTACACTTATGGTTTTAGTGGACACAGTTTCTTCACCACCATCAAAATGTCCAAGATGGTTTACACTATATCTCTATAAAACCTTCAGTCTGCTTAATAATTCCCACAATCCATTTCCTCTTTACTTGACATTTTTTAGTTCTAAAATCCAGGACCAAAGGTTTTCCGTCATTTGATATCTATGATTCCCTTGCCTTTTTTCTGTTTACGGATGAACTAGATCATCTGCTATTAGTATGTAATTTTTACTTTTGATACATGTATTTATATATATATATAACTTATATATATTCAAATAATTAGCACTGTAGCACTGCACTGTCCTCCTGTTGTTCATCGATTTGCTCGAGCGGGCCCAGTAACATCTGCATTGTGAGACTTCTTGTTCCTGTTTTTGGCATATCAAATGCATCACAGGTAGCTTGCCAGACTTTGCCGTGCATACGACATACTCTCGGTAGCTTGCCATACTCTCTGAGAGGGGCAGGGAATCGTGGAGGAATCGAACCCAGCTCGATCAGCTGGCTGCACACAAGGCAAATGCCCTACCCGCTGTGCTATGGCTACAGCGGTAGGGCATTTGCCTCGCACGTAGCCATCCTGGAAGAGCTGGGTTTGATTCCTCCACCCCTCTCGGAGAGCCCAGCAAGCTACCGAGAGTATCTCGCCCGCACGGCAAAGCCTGGAAAGCTACCCGTGACGTATTCGATATGCCAAAAACAGGAACAACAAGCCTCACAATGGAGATGTTACTGGGCCCGCTCGAGAAAATCGATGAACAATGGGAGGACAGTGTTATGATTTTATATAATTTATTATATGAAATATAAATTATATGAAATATCAATTCATAATCAATTATATGAAATCAAATATATAATCAAATATATGATTTCATATAATAAATTTATATGATTTTTATATATTCAAATAAATTATAGGTATATATCTATATATCTAAGTATCTATTTATCTAACTAAATATCAATATATCTACATATCTATCTAGGCCTTTGTTCTATCAATGGCATATCACTTTTCCCAGCAGAGGGCAGTACAACTGAAGTATCACCCTTCACAAGTTTTCCAAAATATAAATTTGCATAATTACTTCATAGCTCTCATGAATGAGCAAATTATAACCCATTAAGTAGGGGAATTGATAAAGTAATGACCTCTATTCCAACCCTTACTTCTGATAAAGAATATGAGCCAAGACAATTTGTGCAAATTCGTATAACTTGTATAGGCATCAAATGAGTTGAGAAATCTCACAGATCAGGTAACAAGACAGTTTTTTTAAAGAGTAATATTAATCAATTCTACTCCAGATAGCTCTTCAAGCTCTTCACCCCAAATCTTTGTTCCAAATATTATCCTTTGATTAAGGGTTTATTTGACATAAGATCCACACTCTTAATAATCCTTAATAATCTTAATAATACATTTTCATTTATCAAAATTTCAAATTTGAATACAACTTTTCAAATAAAAATGAACAAAATATTTCAGTTATACAATTAGCAGAGTTAAATTGAGTACTGAATTTTAGATCCGATGTAATTTTCTTATGAATATGTTGAATAAATGTGTGCATACTTAGGCAAAAAATGTTTATCATTAAGGGAAACCTTCAGTTTATTTAATAGCTCTTGTGTCTTTGAAATGCTACGGTTAGTCAATTTTGTTTTTTATCCTTATATGTCTACAAATTTCTTTATAAAAATATTCATAGTGTTAAACTCATAGATCCTTGGTAAATACAAATGAAGAGACATTAGACTCATTATCTAATATTGTGCTTCATGAAATAAGATACATTTTGCCTACTTTTAAACTTTTTAAAGCACTTATAACTATTTCACTTTAGGAACCTAGGATAAAAACACACTTATTGCTTGATATATTTATTTATTCAACAAATGTATACTAAGGATCATTCATCAATGTGCTATATATATTGGCACAATCACAGAAAACTTAGAAAAATCTATATTTTCTCAACATTTGCAAGGAGGAAATACATAATTCATGGTAATGTGATAGAGACATAACCATAGGAGCCACCAAAACTTTTCTTAGATTAGGTAGTTCTTTTAAAAGTAAATTACTTTTACTAAATTAAAAACTGAAATTTTTCAAGATATCAAGTGGCTAGAGGGCTTACTATGTCAACAAATAAAATATGCAAGCTATTTGAGGCATAACTGAGCACACAACCTGTGTGTAGAACTGCAAATAATTAGAGGATTTTTTTCCTTAAGTAGAAAATATTATTTAAACTTACTGAGGAAAACAATTATTGATATGGGGAAAATAAATACAATTACATGCATGTTAAGTAATTTGTCACCAAGCATTTTCTGATTTTACATGTGCTCGAAGCTTTAAGCTTTTTAGTTTGATCAAGAAGTATAAAATATGTCCCATGCCTATAAACTATCACTGTCACTGTCCTCCCCTTGCTCATCATCGATTTGCTCAAGTGGGCCCAGTAACATTTCCATTGTGACACTTGTTACTATGTTTCGGCATATTGAATACCTCACGAGTAGCTTGCCAGGCTTTGCTGTGCAGGCGAAATACTCTCAGTAGCTTGCCGGGCTCTCAGAGAGGGGGAGGAAGTGAACCTGGATCAGCCGCATGCAAGGCAAATGCCCTACTTGCTGTGCTGGTTCCAAATGGTCTGTAAAGCAACTAAAACTTTTATGTGTTTTCAGGCATGAAAAACAGAGTCATCAGATCTGCGTTGGAAGTCTTTCTTTGTCATTCCCAGAGGCAGGAACTTAGTCAATGTTGTATCCTCCCAAGTCCTCTGGTGCTTGTATAAAATAGTAATACTGAGGGTTATCAACTGCATAATGAATGTAAAGTATTTAACACAGTGAACTCCCCTTTCACCAAAATGATGATTTACAGTTACTGAAGTTTTACAGAACTTTAGGGTTTTGATGGGGGAAAAATTCTGGACAAGTACGAGTGTGGGGAAAAGGCTACCATTTCAGAGAGAAGAAATAATGAATTGGAATAGAGCAATGAATCTGGTGCATTTGAATCCACTAAGAAATAAATGCATATTAAAAAGCAGAGGGAAAAGTTTGGGTATATGGAGTAGAAAGAAAGAGTTGTTCCCTGATTTGGAGATATAAGGGAATGACTGCAATTTCTGTCAAAGTTCCAAGGAATCTGTTCAAAGACATGGAACAAATACTATTAAAATTTGTATTGATCTATAAAACTTCTTGAATAGACAACACAACTTTGAGCAAAAGAAGGTAAAAGGCATTTCAGATCCTGTCTTTAAACTAAACTATAAAGCAATAGTAAACAAAACTGTGTGGTACAGTCTATAGTAATCTCAAATCAGTGAAATTAAAACCTTGATGTAGTCACACAGTGTACATCAAAAATCTATGCAGTGGAGAAATCAGTATGGAAAACTGGCTGTCAACCTGAAAAATAAATAGACTCCTAATTTACATGATATACAAAATCAATTCAAAATTGATGAAAGATCTATATATCATCTTTATATAAAATATGCATAAAATCACGATCATGATCATCCTGTTGTTTGTCGATTTCCTCGAGCAGTAACGTCTCCTTCTTCCTAACCTTGAGATTTTAAAAGAGCCATTTTAATGCTCTTTCAGGATTAGGAGAATGAGACCCATCATTGTTACTGGTATTTGGCATATTGAGTATGACACGGGAAGTTTGCCGTGCAGGCAGGATACTTTTGGTAGCCTGCCAGGTT